TAATCAAAATCCACTGCTTCCCTTCCTTTCTTTGTGTGTATTTTCTGTAAGTGTTTTACGGCGCTCGCAACTGCATAAGGTCATATAAACGTGCGGGACACATTACACATTTTCAGTTGGTAGGAAATTTTGAACACAACTTGCACACGGGACCTCCGAGATTGTTCGCCCTTGTCCGAAGTAAGAAGGAGCAAGGAGTAGCCAGTAGAAAGGCTGAAGAAAGAGTCAGGAGCCCAGAGGAGGGGGAAAAGGAGGTGAGGGGGAGGGGGCAAAAAGTGGAGACGAAAGCAGACGACAGAACATTGACAGAGAGCAGGAAACTAGACAATTTTAGAGAAGAAAATTTTCCGTCGCTATCTGGATTTGAACCCGGGTCCTATTGAATGAGAGGCAAACACCTTAACATCTAGACCACGCGAGCCCCCTTCCCCTCCTAAATTTGGGAAGGTCACCGCAGTCAAATTCGCCCTTTGAAGCAGGTCATATACATTTAAATACATAGTAATAGACGTGGGTGAAATCAAATCATAATTGAACAGTGTGCGCAGTACTCGGAACTGTTTCATTGCCACATAAATACCCCTTTAGGATTATTTTCATAAGCAGTTAAAAGCACTGATTATGTACATAAAAATTAGACTGAAGAGTCCACTTAAAAAAGGTGAGGGGAAATAGCTTCTTATTACCCCATGGATGCTGTGAGTGCTTGTTTTTAAAAATGTTTTTTGGGTTTTTTCCTTGACTTTTTACCACCATATGATTAGGCCTTGGCACGAATATAATGCAACGGCTCCTGGTCACGAAAAGCGAGTTAAAGACAGGCAAATCTGAAACCAAATTATTGATCCATCAAAATTTGTAGTTTTGTCATCTCTGTTTCATTGCCTTCTGTAGTTAAATTTACTGTTTAAACACCCTGAGACTATTATTCCTACTACACGTTTAAAAGTTATAATAACATTTTTCCCAAAGTGTGAATAAATTTATATTTAATGAGACAATTTCTGGATTATTTTGGCGGGTATAATAATTATGAGTTCATCTTGGTTATACCGCCTCGAATGAGATGCTTAAAAAAATATTGTTCCAGTTGTGCCTTTCATGTCGTATGGTCTCATCTGTATCTAGATCTAGTTCTTTGTGTCACTTTGATTAACCTGTCAAACAAGTCTGCCTTCGCCCGAGATGGCAATCGACAAGTCACAGGCACATCACGAGGTGTTTGCGCAATTGTCGATAAGAGATCGCCGTATAAATACCCACCTACTTTGACATTGTCCAAGTGTTCACACTTTCTCATATATATATATAAGTAGAGTGGCCAAACAAGCGAGAAAGAAGCAAACGGTAATATCATATTGCCGAGCGGTGAACTGCTAGACACAAGACAGAGAAGATGGCGGTACGTCACGGAGTCCTCTCTCTGGTCCTGCTGGCCGTGGTCCTAGTGGTCAGGGTGGAGTCCGGCAAGAACTGGGCCCTGGTAGTGGCCGGAGCAAAGGATTACAACAACTACTTTTCTCAGGTAAATATTTCTGGGTAGTATCTACACAAAAATAAAGTATTATGTAATATGTGTAGATCTAGACAGATAGATAGATACGTAGATAGATAGATAGATAGATAGATAGATAGATAGATAGATAGATAGATAGATAGATAGATAGATAGATAGATAGATGGATAGATGATATATACATAGATACATAGATACATAGATACATAGATAGATAGATAATACTATATCCATCAAAAACGTGAACCTCATGAAATTTCAAAGCATCACAAATTATTCAATTGCTTATTATATTAAAGCATGCTTTTTTAAAAATGGCATAATTTGCCTTCAGCACGAGACGACAACCTATATCACCTTATTATTATGATTATACGTATTTGCTTTCGGCCACCACTACAGTCGTGACTAATTGATGGCGATTTTGTTATCGCTGTCTTCAGAATGTATCGGAATAAAATTAAACATAAATAAATTCCACAGAACTGATCTCCGTTGGAAACGATTGTTTTACAATGGCGTACATAAACACACAGATACAATAATGCATAAATGCATGAATAAAACAGAGTACCACAAGCATAGACAATCCACACACCATGCTGATCACTCCTGTGCAGCACCCTGTTTTTTTAAGGGGGGGGGGGGAGAAAGAGAAATGAAGAGAAAAGATAGCTATTGGAACCGTCAGGCCAGCGTGTCCTTTGTATTATTGTAATTGTCTAGAACCCAGGTGCTTTGGGGGGGGGGGGGGGGTGTTAAGGAAAATTCGGGATCTTAGGCCAAAGGGATTTTAGCCGACGCACCAAAAGTAGAATCCAAGGTAAACATGTTCAGGCCCATCGTAGGTAAAATGGTCCTTCTGTAATTTGAAAGGAGCTGGCGTGACCCGTAAGTGGGTTTTGGCGAGCAAAGAACGGTCAACTTTGATGCCCAATCACAATGGCATAAGGCATGCCATTTTCACTTATCCTATCGCGAGTGTCAAGATCTACGCTGATCTGCATTGCTCCCCAACTTTACCTGTCCAAAATGTTTAGCTTTCCATCTCTGACCAAGTTCCCACGCCTCGGTCCTAACACACCATTGTGTTGTGACGGCACCAATCAAATTTCTGTCTGTCTTGCAATAAATTTGGGAGTAGGGGCAACTGCTGTAATGATCAAGGAAGAGTTGACAGTTCGATGTTATCCAGTCTGATGCGTACTTGTTGGCTGGCTCTACCCTCCAGCATGTGATGTAAGCTCAGGTGGGAAACTCATATGCGAGTGCGGATGTTTGGGGGGGAAAAAATCCGTCGGCGAGTTCACACCTCGGTGTGATCCCGTCTGGGGTAAACATTGCACTTTTCATCGAGATTTACAACAGAGGTGGGATCACATTCACGAGAGAGGCTGAAATGTGACACAACAGGCAGGACAGTGACTGTAAATTGTCGCTGCTTGGTTGATCAGCTGCGCCCGCCCGAGTTTTTGTTCCGTAAAATTATGATCTGAAGTACAGGATCTTAGTCGAATGTAGCCTTTCAGGATCCTAGGGGTAACTTTTGAGCACTAAAAATTCTGGGGGGGGGGGGGGGGGGGGTTAAACAGGGGGATATTAAGCGGAACGGGATCGTAAGTGTTGGGATCCTAGGCCGAGACTACTGTAAGGTCTAACCTACCCTTCAGAAAAATACATTTTGAGAGTAGCTTCACCCCTTTGTGTACAACGTCATCAAAGTGGATAATTAGCCCAATATCCTTTCCTTGGTGTAACTGCCTCTTTTTTATGTGCTATTACTGTCAGATAAGATCCCGGTCTATATAACTCTACTCCATGGCATTATAATCCCTTTTCTGCGCCTTTTCCTTTCTGACTCAAATGTACCGAACTTCGCTGAGAAGTATGCACCCCATGAGTCAGGTCATAACGCGAAAAAGATGAAGGGAAAAATATGAGTCTCGCTTTCCGATCATTTGGTTCAAATTGAATCAAAATGATGGGTTCCATTCGTAGAAAACCTGAAATACGAAAGAGTCTAGGATATCATACTACAAGTTTATGGCTACTAGTCCAGTGAAATGTCCTATGTGTTAATGACTCTGTTAGCTCGTACTTTCCTTTCCAACAAATACTCAGTTGATTTTTAATCGTGTGTTTGTTCCCCCAGGCCTGCTCGTGCCACGCCTACGACACATTGCGCAACAACAGCATCCCCAAAGAAAACATCGTATACATGTCTTACGATGACGTGGCCAACGACCCTGAGAACCCCGTCAAAGGAAACATCGTCAACGTTGCTGGAGGGCCGAACCTTTACCCCGGATGTAAAGCAGACTACCGGAAGGAAGAAGTGACACCGGAAGTCTTCCTAAAAGTTCTGACTGGAGACAAGGAGGGCGTGAAAAAGCTGATTGGTCGAGACGGTAAGGTGATTGCCAGCGGTCCTGACGATCACGTGTTCGTCTATATGATTGATCACGGAGGTCCAGGGATTTTCTGCTTTCCAGGTTTTGTTCCATTGCACAACACAGACCTCAACAACGCCTTCAAGCAGATGCACAGAGAGAAAAGGTACAAGGAGATGGTGGTTTACTTGGAAGCCTGCGAATCGGGCAGTATGTTCGAGGGCATACTCCCGAAAGACATCGATATCTACGCTATCTCCAGCGCAAATGCCCACGAGTCAGGGTGGATGTGCTGTTACGATACATTCCGTCAAGTCTATGTAGGCTCTTATTTCGGCAACGGCTGGGCGTACAACACAGATACGGCAAATCTCCACAAGGAAACACTCTACCAGCAGTACGAACTGATGAAAAAAGCCTGCAACGCCTCTGGAACAGTGAGTCACCCCACGCAGTACGGAAACTTGAGCATGAACAGCGAAGTCCTCGCTCAGTACCAGGCAAAAGCGGAGGGGTACCAGCCTGGTGTCTGCGTCAGTACATTAGAAGAAGTAGATAATACTCTGAGGTCAGAGTTCTCATTCGCCGACATTGACCTCAATAACCCCGCCATTGACATGGTTCCGATCGCCACCGCGGCTCGTCGCCTCATCGAGTCACGTGATCTCAGTGGTGAGAAGCGGGAAGAGCTCAAGGCCGAATTACGTCACATGATGCTGGTCAAGGAAAAGGCCGAGTCATTGACCAAAGACCTGGTCAAGGCAGCCTTGTTCAGCCCCAGAGGTCTGACGGAGAGAGACATACTGGCCGGCAAAGAGCGAGTATTTAACTCTGAATGTTACAAGACCGCCCTCAGCCTCTTCTCTGCCCGATGTCCTGGGATCGACATGGGGAAGTACCCATTCGCCAGGAGAAATCTGCAGGCCTTTATCAACCTCTGCAATCACCAGCCCCAGACTGACGTCATGAACGCCATCTTGGAGGTCACGGAGAAATACGGAATTTGCCGAGCTCTGTAGACCCCCAGTTCCCGACCGTCTCCCCTTCTACTGTTTTCTATTTCTTTATCTGGTGTCTATTTGTTTTTGGTTGTTTAAACAAATATTTATATGTGTGGTGTTGTTGTTGTCCTTATTTTGATAACGCCTTCCTTCAATAAAAATGTTTTACTAAAATGATTCCATAACTCGCAGTTGTTTCGATTATTTCGTTTGTCATTCTTGAAATAGACAGCTCAATCAAGCTTACTTATTTTCCTGCTCTCTAGCAATGTTCTGTCGTCTGCTTTCGTCTCCTCTTTCTGCGCCCACCCCCTCACCTCCTTTAACCCCCTCCTCTGGGCTCCTGACTCTTTCTGCAGCCTTTCTACTGCTATTCCTTGGCTCCTTCTTACTGCTGTCTTTCAGCCACACTCCTGATCTTCAGGTAGGAAAGATCTACACCTAGCCTTCTCGGACAAGGGCGAAAAACCTCGGAAGGCCGGTGTGCAAGTTGCGCACGTTAAAGATCCTTTGGCTGTGTAAAATCGATAAGAGTAGGTTTCGGCCGCCACCCGGGCAAAATTCAAAATTTCCTACCAACTGAAAATACTAGGTTGTCCCGCGCGCTCATATGACCTTATGCAGTTGCGAGCGCCGTAAAACACTTACCAAAAAAAAACCCCCAAAAAAATAAAAATTATTTTTTTTTAAAGAGAGAGGGGAATAGGGAGACATAGTAGTTCCGAGTGATGAACTCCCCTTTCAACACGATAAGGTTTTTCTATTAACTGGCGACACCATCAAATTTAAAATACATCTCTGACATGATCGAGCTAAATAGTTCAAGTTTAAGAACATCTTTTTGGGGATTCGACACAGGACCACAACATCATGTAGCCCAGCATCAAACCAACTGAGATAGTGGGGGTGGTGGTAAGGTAAAGCTTTGAGAAAGGACTAAGAAAGAAATGATAATACGAGACACGACAAAATACTAGCACCACCTTTTGGAACAATCTCAACCATCAGTCCTTGGATAGGCCTGCATGCCAGTCGGACAATGTTTGCCGAAGTTATGAAAGTTTTACTACGCACACCCTTAATATACTTTTTCGAGAAAACGTCTTTTACTTTTACTGTCAACGGGATTGTTTTCCTTTTTCTTATTTTTTTTACGTTTGCACAACAAGGTGCCATTTGTAGGTTAAGTAAGCCAGACTGCAGAACGTGGCACACGTTCTTGTCATGACGCCTGCTCCTCCTTTTTTCCTTTTTTCTGCACGCACTCGTACTATTAGTTCAGCCATATGGCACATATCACAACCTGGCATCATCTTCTTGGTTATAAAAGCTTCCTCTCGTCGGGACCTAAAGAAACGACCTATTCCTGTCCCCGTCGTTTTATGCAAGAAAAAATCTGAAATTATGCAAACTGAGCCCAAAAATGTGAAATTATGCGATTCTGTTAATTTTAACAAAGAATGATAAAGGAAAATAATCAGAAATTATGCCAAAAAATGATCAAATTTGGCTAAATTATGCGGGATGCATAAAACCACGGGGACAGCTATTCCTAAACTAAACAAACAATGCTTACTGTTGTTCTGTCCTCTTCGTCGAATTCTTCGTCTTCGTCATTGCTTTCTTTCTTTGTCTGCGTCTTTTTTATCGCTGTTTTCGTCGTATTCTCCGCCCACAGTTAGACAGGATGGTTTCTGATGAGGGGGGGGGGGTGTACAGTAGAGCTTGACGCTAAGCAAAAGAGAAGTACACCGTCACAAGAAAGGCATTGTAATGGTAATGCAGTAAACAGTTAGCGATTGACACAAATTTAATATCAGAGGGCAGGAAAGAAGTAAAACTAACCACAGCCCCCAACACACAATCACACACCTTATTTTCTAAATAAAACAAAACAAAACAAGAACAAGAACAACATTTTTTAAAAAACACTCGCCGATGGCTAGACAGGACCCTTGCACAGGTACAAACACTATTATATCGCTCTCGTGTCCTAGAGGTTGAGGTGTTCGCCTCTCATTCAATAGGTCGCGGGTTCGAATCCCGTTTGCGACGGAAACATTCTTTTCTCTAACATTGTCTCCTATCACTTATTTTCATGGTCTCTTGCAATGTTCTGTCGTCTGCTTTCGTCTCCACTTTCTGCCCTTTCCCCCTCATCTCCTGTGCCCTCTCCTCTGGGCTCCTGACTCTTTCTGCAGCCTTTCTACTGCTACTCCTTGGCTCCTTCTTACTGCTGTATTTCTGCCATACCCTTGATCTTATGGAAAGAAAGATCTACACCTAGCCTTCTCGGACAAGGGCGAAAAATCTCGGAGGTCCCGTGTGCAAGTTGCACACGTTAAAGATCCCTTGGTGGTCCAAAATCGATAAGAGTAGGCATCGGCCCCCACCGAGCAACATTCAAAATTCTCTACCAACTGAAAATGTTTAATGTGTCCCTCGAGTTCATATGACCTTATGCAGTTGCGAGCGCCGTAAAACACTAATTAACAGAAGTTAACAAACAAAAAAACAAAAAACAGAACTACCTTGACGTTGACGTTAGGTGACGTCATAATATTATCGCTGACCTACGACAAAGCAGCCAGCACTCTCATCGGCATCATAATACTAAATCTAGCCTACATCCATAGCACAACTTTTGTTTTAGTTTAAGTTAGAGTTTACAGCACTTGCAACATAACAAGGTCCTGTAAGTGCCGGAGATTAGAGTTGTTACAAGAGAGTAACAAAATACAAAAAAGGAAGGAGGGGAGATAAGGACAATTAAACTCGCATATAGATGTTGGGTAGATGTTGGATCGGAAAGAAGAAGAAGCAGGTCTTTACTACTAGGCTTTAATTAAGCCTACTGTAAGGAGAATCCTCGATAACTGTCTTTGAAGTTTGCTTCTAATATTTTCCTTGGCTTATCACACCTTTAGATAGACATTAGAATATAAGCATTTGTATCAATGCTTACAATAGCCACAGAACAAGTTATGATCGGCTGGACAGCCAGTTTGTCTGATTTCGTGAGGAAAAGGCCATCAATGAAGTTCAGTGTGTAGGGATCTTTTTCAGAAGAAAGTTCTAGAACACCCCGAGCTCAGATATTGTAGCAGACACCTTCAATGTCATGTTTTGATTTCAAGCCTCTTGATACAAAAAAGGATCGGTGTGTCGACAAATGCACCCCATTCCCCTCCCTCCCCGAACAAAAATCCACTGCTCTATAGGCGCAATATTGACTCTAGATGAATTGTAAATCTACCTTCGATACGTCAAAACGTGTCGCAATTGTCTTCCCTTGTAATCTTTTTAAACTGTTGATATCACACAGGATACAAACACCATTATCAAGTCAAGCGACACATTGAACGACAAGAGTGTATCAAGGTTGTTCTTTCGAGTAACGAGACTAAGCCCATCAACACAAAAACTGATTGTCATACATCAGGTGCATGAAAGAGTGTGGTACGTTGACAGAAACAAACGAAGGACAAACAAGACGATGGATCTACAAGTGGCCTCCTTCAGTCACCCGCGCAAAATGTTCGATGGTTATGGAAAATTTGATACTATAGGCTATATAACTGTTAACAAGGCTTATCGCCAAAATGATTAGTGAACATTTGCAGAGTGTTTGTGGGTAATCTATCATGTTTATAGGCCTATAACACATTTTGTCGTTAAGTCAGTAAGAGAATTTGATATAGAAACACTGTCTTTGTTGAACCACATTCTTTTAGCCCCCCCAAACCTTCTGTGAACGAGAGTATGGCACAATTCATCCTCATTGTAGACGCCACACACTTGACATTCTTACTGGCAGCTCAAATCCTGCGCCTTAGCCTATAGGCCTATGTAACTTTTTAAAACACGGTTTTTGTGAGTGCGCGCGCGGTGTGTGTATGTGTGTTTCAAACAAAAAGACTGCGGTCTCTATCAACACGGCAATTTGAAAAAAAAAAACAGGAAAAGTGCAATGTGGGTAATAGATGCCAAAATATGATCACTACATTTTCAAATACCAAAAAGCACCAATTACAAGCTTGAGCCATTGGGATGTCTGAAAAGTACAGTACGGTATAAATAAACATGAACAACCTTGTTGACTACATTATCTATTTCGGTGTGCAGCCTTTCTAAACAGTGTTCGCTTGAATAAACAGAAACTCATCGACAAATTTCGATCGTCTAGCACAGTGAAAGAGTAATGCAAACAGAAACAGCATTGGGAAAGGAAAAAAATTAAGTCGGACCTGCCTATGCACCCTTCAACCTTCCGTACTAATGAGACATAGTCAGACTCTAGACACTTCTTGAACATAATTTGAACAATACCGGTATTTGGTTCTGGGCCAACAGTTTTGTTGGCAGTGCTTTAAAATTTCACTTCAGTTAGATGTCTCCGATTGGGTGCTAATTGCGCCCAACAGCAGCGAACATTTTCTTGTCTTGTAGTTTCTTCAGCAGGTTGTCACTTGCTGAAAAAGTTCATGCTGTTTTGCCCTCTCCCCCAAACCCCACAAAGCCAGAGAGAATTGCTAGAAACTAAAAACTGCCTTAGAAAAATACACTGGGGAAAAGATAAGGATTGGTATGTTTTTAGTAAGGAGATGTGCATCGACACAATAACAGCCATTTAGTGCAAAGAAAAGGCGAGAAAGACAACAGAAAAAGCAGAAGGCAAAGAAAGAAGTATGACCCACCATAAAAAGCAATTGAAGAGGAAGGGAGGAAACGATACTGTATCCATTCATCGTTGCTAAAATTCCCCCTTTGGCAATCTCAAGAGGCAAACTATTCATTGATAATTATAATTATTAATTATTCGTATCAAACTTATATCATAACCTCATAAATTGGGGTTTATCCTTACTCCTGAAGAGGGGATGATCCCAATTATACTGATTATTGTACCCAGTTTTAGCGTTACCAATGACTGAACAAAACATAAGTGTACCGTATTTGACAATATTCATTGTAATTCGAGTGTCTCTATAATATTAAGTACTGTAGGCTAATCATGCATTGTACGAAGAATGTTGAATGTTAAAATGCAGTTTTGCACTGCTATGAACTGCTATGTCAAATGGACCAAAATGGCATTGAAATTGAAAGACAACCTTTAGTGCAGTGCAATTTCGAAGCCGTTTTTCTTCAAAGAACGTTTTTTTAATTTGTTGTTTGATTCGAGGGTCGCAATACCCCACATCATCTAGATTTCTAGATCTAGACTCTACGTTTTCTTGAAATTCCCCGAACACGTTTAACATTTTGGCAAGTCAGGACCACCCACCAGGCCACGGACTTTCGTGGTTATAAACCGGCGTAAGCCAAAAAAACACACTCCGGCAGTGGCAGTACTACTCTTCTTCACATTGTTAGATTATCTACTCAAAGAGTTTTGCAGTGCTCTCTCCTCTTTTAGTAATGGTAATTATTGTATCATGAATAGATTTATCTTTTAGTATTGTTACGTAATATCCTACAGGGTTGAGCTCTGTGCTCCGACAATTTGAGTCCAGGTGTAACTGGGACACCCAGCATTACCAGTCTACCTCGTTGGACATCAAGGTCAGAGTCAGCCAGCCGCATTGAATTGAATTATAATTAGGCCCCCGGGTGAGAATAACCCATGTCTCGCTATTCTCACCTCCCCCACCCCGGTGAGAATAGCTCCCACCCCAGTGTGCGAATGAGACGAGGACTCCCCCCTGACCTCTTGCAGGCCGATAAAATCCCTTAGGCCCTTGGTGGCTTACCGCTTGTATGTGGTTGGTAACGAATATTAATAATGTAAAAACATTTTTCGCCTCTCCTGTTAAAAAAAAAAGGCTCACTACCGACACTGAGCGGGATGTGGGACCGGCTGCCGGCCGGACCATTAGTTGTTTACACACTTAACGATGGCTGGCTTCTCTTCACACATTATGGAACAGAGAACGTGTACAAACGTAATGAGACTATGCTCGTGCATGACGGTTGAAGGGTTGTAAATTATTCAGATCAAATGGACGAAGGCGTTGTTCTTCACTTTCATTTTTATCTTTTATTCTTTCTTTTTCTTTTTCTTGCCTCTTCTGTCCCCTTCTTCTTGAGCCAGAGAGCCAAATGAAATTCTACGGGCCTGATGCGATCCAAAAGAGCGAAATTTCTGGGATTTGGCTCCAATTTGACAACCCTGACTGTGACTAGATCTAGAGATAAAAATGTGTCTATTCGGACACCAACAGGATCCTGTGAGCATCAGCCCGGGTAACTTCAGCCCTGGTCCCTCTTGGGTCATTTCCGGTCAAACAAGGGAGGGGTTGAGAATAGCCTTTATAGCGAGCCATAAGTTATTCTCACACGGGGTGAGAATGTACCACTTCCTTATTATTAGGCCTATAATTTATTGCCAACCCTCTAATCTGAGTGGATTACTGTTTAGTAGTTTTTCATTTTTGGACCTAGATTATATCTCCAGATTTAAAGAATTTAGAATTAGATCCTAGATCATAGAAATGAAAGAACCACAGTGCGTTTTATCCGGAGTCTAGCCATAGCTGATATGATAGCCTATTCTTCTCTTTCATTTGTTTTAGGAAGAAGCTAGTTGTACATTAATGACAGCTAGGCTAGCCGTACGTAGACTAAGGATGGATAAACTGGCAGGCTAGTTGTACTTAATGATGGCTAGATGGCGAGAATGGCAGTACTCAAGGACCGCTAGACTCGCAGGCTAGTCATACTTAATGATGGTTAGACTGACAAAAGGCGAAAAATACTGATTTGTAAAAATACAATTTTAGTTTGTAATACCTAACGTATTTGTATTTGAGACGAAAGTAAAAGTTGCCTTACTGACATGCATGTATTTTTAAACCTGACTGAATTGAGACGTATAAAAACTGTGTCAGTCTCAGCTTTCAACTGTTTTATTGCATTTTGTAACTGTTCAAATGATGAGAATACTTCGTTGATAACGATAGCCAATAAAGTAGACCTATGCCAAATCTAGATTGAAATGAAAATTCAAGCTTGGCTTTGCACCCACCGTGACCTTTGATACTATCGAGGCCAAAACAGGTTTCAGTCAATAGGGCCTAAGTATGGCTAGCCTGGAAATTTAACCGTACTTAAGTACGTGTAGGCGCCTCTGCAGTCTCTTTGTATATTTTATCTACAAAAAGAATCTGCACTTTGGGCTTCAAGAGAAGTTTCACTCAGTCCAATATGTCTATTTAGTGTGGTAGTACTTATCTTAAACAGATGACATCCATTTTATTTTACATGAGGACACGTTCAAAATTACACCTCATTGCCATTGCCTTATTTTTTATGAGTTTTCTCTGATATTGAGCAAGGTCAATTTCTTCTGCAGATCTTACCAATTCATTGTTTTTTTAATTGCATGTCATGCATTTTGGTGTTTCCCAGATAGGCAAATGTCACCTGCAAAATCTAAATGTGTCATGATGTGGTGGAATCAGGCACTTGTCAATTTTTTAGCATATCAAGTTATTAATAATACTCTTGAAGCCTGTTCTTTCAGCTTGCTTTTGATGAAAAAAATTACCCATTTATCTTGAATAGAAGTAGAGATATTTGAGACTGAAGGAGGTGGGAATCGCCTTGTATCAGAGATAAAATCAGCGAGAAAATGGCCACTAAAGTTTTGTGACTTTCAAAGCTGGAGAGTGCTTGGAAACAGCAAATGTACTTTTTTGTGCCCTTAATCAATGTTTTTCTTTAAAATCCACTCAGAAATGTGTTTTTACTTAGACATAAAAAGTGTTGAGCTTAACAGCAAAAATTAGTGAAAAATTGCCCAAAGAGCGGAAAAATGCAGACTTCTTCAATTTAATTACTTTGATAGTGCCTGTCACTGAGTTGCTCATTTGCTATTTAATTTAACAAGTTATAACTTATTATGTATAATCGTTCATGAATGCATGAGCAACAATGGTTTTGTAATACAATTTATACTAAGAATCAAAGTTTTATCATTCTTCTTTCTGCTTTTTCTGTCGTAGTTTAAACAATTTTTGCCCTGTCTTAATTTATTTCTGCTTTATTTTTTCAGCGCTTTGGTATCAATCAGAGCTTCAAAAAATGTCCTTTAAAATCTGCCATTTCTGTGGAAAAATGAGATTGACCTCTAGGGTTTCTCAATGGACAACTCCAACGCGGCATCACAGTGGCTGGTCCAGATGGATTTCATCTAAAGTAGAGATCATATCACCCCTCAGCACAGAACCTTCTGTCTTCTACCCCTCACTATCATTCTGGCTGACTGGTCGTAGCAGTGTCAGAGGCATTTACTCTTTATCGACGAAATGGAACCAGCCGACTGGCTACGACACTGGGATAAAAGTCTATCATCCTGTTGTGAAAGATAAAGTGCCTCTCATTTTGGGACAAGAGAAACTGGCTCAATGGTAATCTGCTGTTATGCTTTAAAAAAATGTTTACTTTAGGCAAGCTCAGGTTTTTTTAATTTTTAGTAATTTATTGATTGATTGTTTTATGACTGCTTCAACACTATTTCTATCATACTGGAAGAGACAGGTTGCTTTGACCTTGCCTGTCTGGGCCAAACTAGGTGAGAGTGGAGTATATTATCCCAGCAGACAGAGATATTCTGTTAAACATTTTCCCCAATGAGGAAATGGAACTCTCATCTTCTGCATGTGGTGGTGTAGAGTATTTACGTTGCATCATAGACACTGATACTCAGACTGAAAAAATATTAGTCCTAATACTGTGGTCTTAATTGGATTTTGAACAATAAATGTTCTGATATAGTCAAGATTGAGGTTGATATTAGACTGTCATTTTTATTAACTTTTCATGCTAAATACTAAGTTGATTGCACTGCATACATTTTTCTATATAAGGTCAAGGAGATTTGCCTGTTATGTGTAGCAAGGCTCAAAAGTCATCAGCTTAAATTATGTTGTTTGATGGTTTGCACACTTAAAGTTTTATTTTGTATAACTGGATTACGTTCGTAGCTTTTTTTGCTTTAACTGTACAGGTATGCTTGTGGGCCCACTGTGTATGACAGTGCACACATTGGACATGCAAGTTCTTACATCCGTCAAGATATCATCAGGCGAATAATGGGCAGTGTCTTTGACATTGATACCACGCTGGTCTTGGGGATCACTGATGTGGACGACAAGATTATTAATCGGTCTATTGAGGTAGCTGTTACTTTTTTCGCTTTTATGTTTTTTGCCAGAGAACTTCTTAAATTAAAGCTTAAAAATGTTTGCATACACTAACACTCAGGGTTAACTTGGGAGGCTTGTTATGGTAAACACTTTGTTCTGTTTTATGTCTATCCATGTGTAGAAAAGCTTAGCTCAGGGCTACCTGTTATCTTACTATAACTAAACATGTCTCGTAAATGCCTGGAACATCTGGATTCTACTATAGTGGGCGTTTTTCTCTTGGGAAAATTTCCCATCTTTGTTTTTGACAAAATTAGTTTCATTGTAATAATTTTTTAAGTCATATAGTACTAAATAGTTTTATTTAAATTGTTTACAGGGAGGTTGACTCAGATTAAAATACACGATTCTCATGTTTATTAAGTAGAGTAATACTAACTCAATGTTCACCAATTTATTTTTTATTTTCTTATTTCTCAGACTGGGCAAGACATAAATCAGATGTCCAGGTTCTACGAGGCAGAGTTTTTCTCTGACATGGCCAACCTGAATGTGTCCCCTCCTAGCGTGGTCACTCGAGTCACTGACCACATTCCTGTCATCATAGACTTCATCAACGGCATCCAACAGCGGGGACTTGCTTACAAAGCACAGGATGGTATGATGATCTTTCTGAGTTAGAGTAAAGAGAAGCAGATCAACGCAATAATGGTTATGTACTGCAGGAAAAAATAAGACGAGCGGAAACAATGAAGGAAAAAAACAAAAGTACGACTTGAAAGTGTCGCCATCCATCCACCAATAATACTCCTGAAGGCAGTGAAATTTTTTGTTGTGTTAAGACAAAAGAACAAACATTATGAAGTAGTCTTAATCACACTTGACGCATGGATAGTTTTTGATTAGACTAACAATTAAGCTTTCGTTTTTTCAAACTTAAACTGCAATATTGAAATGATGGATCTTTGAATGCTTGAAAGGTAAAGAGAATGCTGTGGAAATGGGGTTAGGAAAATTGCAAATTATCTTTATGCTTTTGTGTACAGTTTCAAGGAGACTGCAACATTAATGTTACTTCCGTTCCACAATATCATAAAGGAGCATTAATTTTCCAGATTTGTCAGTTTTGTATTCTTGACAGTGGCTGCTGCAGCTTGCCAAATTTTTTCTCCTGTTTTGTCACTTGCTGTCAAAAACACTGATTACCTGTATTACCTGTCCTGGGCAACAGCGTCGTTGCACACCGGATAGGTCCATAAGTGCTCAGTTCCTCCCAACACCAAAGCCTGCTAGGTATCCATACTGATTGTTCTGATGGCTGTCTGATTATGGCGACGTCTTTCTTTTCCAGATAAACGTTCCTTTCTTCCTTGTCCCCTCTCTATACCCATTTCCCGCATCCTAATGATTGCGTGGTGTTCTGCTGTCTCCCTGTCTTCTTCATCCCGCAACTTTTTCTCCTGGGTCTTCAACACTTCTTTCCTTTGTCAAATTTCACCTCACCATCAACCTCGACACTGCCTCCTCATTGATGCTCTAAGTGATGAGTGTTGTATTGGGCTCATCCATTCACTCCGAAGAAGCCCTTTCAATCAGTCTAATACCCATTGCACACCACCAATTGAATTCAGTCGAATTGAGTCGTGACCCGACAGATTTCCTTCATGGAGGGGGAAAGCTACCATTTTGGCATGACTGACTCATCTTGGGACCTTGAGAAATAAACAGTTGATTTTGAAGGTTGTAATTTGGCCAAAAAGTTAGCTTTTGACCCTCCATGGATTGAGAAAAAATCGGCCCTACTCAATTAAATGAATTCAGTTGGAAGTGTGCACTTGGTATTAAATTCCTTTTGCCCCCGACAAAGGCATTTTTTCTTAAAGTAAAGGGTAAGCTGTACACTGCAATAAAAGTCATGGATTTTTCTTCTTAATGTGTAGAAATTCCTAGATTTCTTTGAACACTTGCTGTGTTTCTCTCCGTATAGGCAGTGTCTACTTTGATGTGAAGGAGTACGGGAGGTACGGAGTGTTTGTCAGTCATCCAGACAAGGACAAAGGTTAGACAAGTGATGACACTATTTATAGTGTGACTGTTTTCTGAAATTTTGTTTTGTTTTGACTGTTTAAAAAAAAGCTTGTCAATTTGATTAACAAAATTTATGGTTTTAATTTGCTCACCTTTCTGATAACTATTTAATTCTTAGAGCGTTCGCATTAATGTATGTCTCATGTTTTGACAAGATTTTTCTGTGAGGCACAAGTGAACACATATTATGTTTAGCAGTTTTCATAGACACCTTCTGTATTTTACCTGGACTTTGAATTACTTTAGACTTTGACTTGGTATACATTCTTAACCACTTCTCATTTAACTATTGACCTTTGGTATGATCTGATCTAGTCGATGCTGAATATAATGCACTCACGCTTTCCCAGGATTCCACATTCTTCACTTTTTCTAAAGTCGATATTTAGCTGCCCACGTGCCTTTAAGCACAACAACCTAGGGCTTAGGGTTTAGACTATTATGTATTGCTGTCAACCACCATTACAATTGCGAATAATTGAGGACAGTCTTGCTGTGTTGTCACAACATTTTTGGAATCTACTGAATAAACATTAAGATTTTTAAAAATTCCGCCATATTGATCCCCTTGAGAAATGTGTCTCGACGCGGTGGAATTAGGCTCTCGTCGATTTTAGGACATGTGGAGTTATTGGAAGTATCCTAAAGCGTGTTCATTTGTTTTGCCTTGGATGAAAAAAATGCTCATCTATCAGGAATACAAGTCGAGATATTTGTGAATGAAGGGGGGGGGGGTCACCTGTTTTCAGAGATAAGTTTTCTGAGATAAAATTAGTGAGAGAATAACGGCCAAAGATGAGGTATTTCCTTAGCTTGAGAGTCTGTGGAAACTGAAAATTTACTTTTTTTGTGCCATTTATCAACATTTTTATGTAAAATCCAGACAGAAACATGTTCTGTAATGGGCATAAACGGTGTTGATCCAACCAAAAAACAAGAATTCGATAAAAATTCACAAGCCTACGAAAAAAAATGGCAGTTTTTTCACTTTGATTATTTTGACTATTGCCTGATTTCACCACGCTGCCTCACAAATATGTTTTACAATTGCAAATACAAACACACAAATACTTTAATGCATAAATGCACGAATGATACTCAATATCACAAGCATAGACAATCCACACTCCATCTCTAGTCGCTACTGTGAAGCACCTGTTATTGACCTATGGTTATTGTGCCTTGCTCAAGGACACACCCCAATGACCACCCACCAGAATGCAGTGGTACAGCTCCTTTCTTGATGTTACTGTGAGCCTAAGTTCATTAACCACTCATAACCACTGGGCCTCCCCACCCTCCCCTTCTCTCCCCCTTTGCCTCACCTCCAAAAAAACCAACAAACCTACTACTGCTTTGAGGGTTCCTGTGTGCTTTTATCCTTGCAGTTTTTAATCTATACCGAACAGCGAACGCTCACAGTTCTGAAAAGTGAAATTGTAAAGCAATGGCTCAATTGTAGAGTATCTTATAACAATAACATTGCAATCAAAATTTTTGATTTGATGAATTGCTAAGCTTAAAATCATGTTGCAGCTCTGTCATGCTCCTAGGATTATTGAAAGCTACTTTTATTTTTATTTTGAGATCTGAAGATTGTATGTTTCTTCTGAAAAAGTGACACAAAGATCGACCTCACCGGAATTATATATAGAGAGGACACATCCTCAAAGGAGGCAGATAACCAGGGCAGGGATACCAGTCAAAGAACAGGTGTTGAGATTAAGTTCAGGTGTTTTACTTGTTAAATTACTTTGGCCTCAAAATAAAAAGATGATAAAATAGTTGTATTTGAAACCACAAAAGCAACAAATAAATATACACTTAATGTTTCATTCGGTGTATTTATAATTATGTTTGTGTCTCTTCTTAGGCTTCAAATATAGTAGTGTACTCAAAATAAATGAGCCGAAGAGAACACACTCAACAGCTACTAGATTAACAACAATAACAACTGGAAGTAAGAGTCAAATAAAAAGTTGAATATAATGTCCCTCTATATGATTCTTTTTAGACGAGAGCTCTCACAAGAGAAGCAGTCAAGACTTTGCTCTGTGGAAGGCTTGTAAGCCCGGAGAACCCCACTGGGAGTCGCCCTGGGGCAGAGGCAGGCCTGGTTGGCATATAGAGTGCTCGGCCATGGCAAGGTATGTTTGGAGTTTGATCGATTACAATCGGAATTATCCACCTGTCCTATACAATTACCTGTACAAACGACCACTTCCAATTGCATTTTTTTCAATGTGTATTGTAATGACACGTATTGTCCAAGATGTCCATCTGTCTAAGACAACCACTTTTCTCCGCGACAATGGGCAGGTACCTTGCACAATTTAAACTGTATAATATATATATGAAAATATAAAATATAGGTAATATTTAAGTTCATAAATTATAAATGAAAAATATATATATATATATATAAACAGTCACCATCTAATATATATATTGAACTAGGGATGTTGCTTTTTGTGCAAGGACACACCCCAGTGACTATTTTACACAGGGTTTTGTTTCTCGGATGCTGCTTGAATTTGCATTTTTTAAACAAGTTCACGAATTAAAGTCGTTCACTAAATGTAAAAAGGGTCTGTCTGCTTTGGACTTTATAATACATTATGTCACTGGGAGACTCAAATTTCAGATTTAAAACGTTTGCGAAAAACTAAGTGGATGAAACAGGAGAGAAAAAAAGAGCAGGGGAAAAAGCCCAGTGTGCAGTACCCACCTCAACACTGTGTCACTGAGGTACGCTTGATATTATTATGAGCCCGAGTTCACAAAACACTCATAGCTAGCCACTGCCCCCCCCCCCCCCCCCCCCCCCCAAAAAAAAAATCCTTTGTGGATTCTAGTTTGTTTTAGTTCGTGCAGTTTTGTTGAACTACGGAGCCCCGCAGTTTTGGTGAACCACGGGTTCGTGCAGTTTTGTTGAACTACGGGCACTCAGGTTATTTAAAAGTGGAACCAGATAGTAATGACTCAACTCTTGAATAATTAAAAAGATACAGATCAATTGAAAACCACAATTTTATAAATTCCCATTTTAAAAAATCATGAAAATTTGGCTTTTTCGTCTTCTTAGTATTGAATAATACTATCATTTATATTTTGAAGTCTTAAGAATGTGTGGTTTCTTCTAGAAAGTAAAGCAAAGATCATCCCCACTACAATAATGTATAAGAGCACATGGTTGTTACTGTCTTGTAAAGTGCACACACTGACCTGCATGTCTTGTCTTTCTCCCGGAGGCAGCGGGATATTCGGCTGTAACTTCGACCTGCACTCTGGAGGAGAGGACCTCATCTTCCCCCACCACGAGAACGAGCTGGCTCAGTCCTGTGCCTTCCACGGCAACCAACAGTGGGTGAACTACTGGCTGCACACAGGTTTGTGTGGCTGAAAATTTGGCTTCTGTTTGTGAGTTTTTAATATTCCGGGTCTTGTTGGTCGATTTGATCGGTTACAATCCACCACTATGAGAGTCAACGGAAAGCCAAAAATTGGCGGGGGGGGGGGAGGGTTAGTTTTACAGAGTTTTGTCCGTCCATCAAACCTTTACCTTAAGAAAATGTATGGTTGGAGTCTCTTTGCTATGACTGATGCTCGCTTATTATAAATTGTTTCTTTTTCAGTCTTCTGTTTAAGCCCCAAAAGGCCCTTTGTTGTAACCTTTTGAAAGTTGCCTCCATATATTCTTTGATGATTTACGATGTGAATATTTTTTGTCAATTAATTTTATACAGGTCATCTCTTCGTATCTGGTCAAAATGAGAAAATGTCAAAATCATTGAAAAATGTGATCACGTTGTCGGAGCTGCTGGAAGAGTATACGCCCAACCAGTTCCGCATGCTTTGCTTACTCAGCAACTACAGGAAAAGTAAGCTTCTTCTTCCTATTAAAAAAAATAAAAAAATAAAAACCAGTCTAGCATGCACATAGCAAAATCGGCAGGACACGTAGATCTTTTTATTATGTACTAATTTCACAATGTATGTGCTTTAACTACAAACAAATACATGTATAAGAAAAAATTTGGGACCTGAAAACCTGTTCGCTATCTGCGTGTTAAGCTATGTGCATGTTTGCTATGTGCATGCTAGACTTTATGCCTAATAAGTCATTTTCAATTGAATTTTCTATGTGACATTGTTTTGTAAACTTCCGATGCTGTGTGTTAAAAAAAATTGATTGGACATCCGTCCCTTTTACAGTTGTAATGTTGATAATAGTGAAATATTGCTGTTACATACTGCTTATTCGTTCTTAAAACAGAGTTTATGCCCTTCATCATTTATTAAATTGACAGACCTTTTAACACCTACAGGTACACTCCCAACCCACTGAATAGCACTCAGGACAAGCTGCAATTTTATAGGCGCTCATGCTGCGTCATATTGATACGGTCTTTCACTGTCTCAGACCAGCACATATTATTCCCACATGGGTGATGTGGTGAAAAATTTTGTGGACAGAGTCATACGAAGAATTTATCCAATGACCCTGATAATACTGATATGGACTGTCTTGACCTTTATTTGCCTATGACCCTATGGATGAAAGTGCAGTAGCTTAATCAGCGGGCTGCTGAACCCGCAATAAAGTCGAAAGTACCTGTAGCTCTTTGGCAACTTAAATAGCTTGACATCTTGATCATTCTTCTGAACCCCCCCCCCCCCCCCCTCCCCCCCAACAGATGTAAATTAAAGGGTTTTTTGTTTTGTTTCTTAATATGAAGTGTTTTTACATTTAATTGCATTGACTGAAGGGTTTTTATTAAAATTTCTATGAATAGGGGTTTGAATGTCAAGTTTTTTGTGGTTTAGGGTAAGATCTTCTGTAGATAGGCCTACTATTTTCTATTTCAGAAATTGAATTCGGCGAAGAACGTATGAAAAAAGCCATGTCTACCATGAATGCTTTTAACAGTTTGATCAAGCGCTGTGATTCCTATGTGAAAGGGCAGATTGACTGTGGCGATATTCCTGAGGCTGAGCTCTTTGAAAAGTGAGTAATTCAACAAGATGTTTTGTAGAGCAGTATGCTTGATAAATCCGCTAATGTTAAGACAACTGCATCCTTATGTTAACATGAATGTATCCTTATGTTTTAATGGATGTCAAGATGATTTTAGAAGCAAATAGGTGTTAAAAGTTGTTAATGGATGCTAACAGACCTTGTTGCGAGATGTTAAGATGTTAATTGTACATATGTGAGTTCGATTCCTGTGTGGGAAAGTTAGTATATTCACTCAAATGTTATCACCTGTTTTCAAGAATGTCGTGTCTCCTTCTACTCGGGTTGACCCTGACATGCAGGGTTGCAGTTGATCACCCACTAAATAATCTTATTTGTTTTAATAGGGGCGTAGAACATGTATTGTCATCTTTACAATAGGTACCACAAACGGTGTGCCGATCGCGGCAAGTAGCGTTCTTCCCGAGGAGGAAAACTGTCGTAGTGATCCACTTCACAAACGTAGCTTTTCACTCATGATTGCTTGATTTTAATGAAATAAAAACCAGTTAGAAGAGCTTGTTTTGTTCTAATATATGTGTTGTTCATAGATAGAATGGATGTGTGGAAGTATGTTTAATAAAGCTCTAAAATTTGGGAAAATGACGCATTTTGCGTCCGACCGGCGCTCGCATCGAAACCTAGCCACAGCCACTCTTTTTCTTTCACAAACTGCTCGGTCGCGATAGTGCGTACAGAAATAACTGCTGCACTGTTAGAAAGGTCAAAAGCTGACCTTTACCCCCATACTAGGCAGGCCAGGATTTTTTTGACAAAATAGGTAAAATTTGAAGTTGAAAGACAATGTTGTGAGAAGTTTTGATAAAATCTCAGTATTCTGAACATTTTTTTAGATATGCTTTACACGTAAAGCTAGTTCACAATATATTTGTTTTATTCAAGCAAGTACTGTTTAACAATTTGTTATCATGGTACCGCTATTTGACTTCAAACTGTGGATGCCTGTGTCGGGGAAACTCGCTTTCTGTTACAATGGCTGAAGAGGCAGCTGTCGAGGCACTCGATACACCGACCGGCAAGCGGGCGGATTACGATGGGAATACGCATAACAACAACTAATCTGCCAACCAACCGTGTGATTTTTTCAATCTCATTGATAAGTAATTTAATGTTTTAGTTGTTTAAGATAGATCATGCTTCAGCTTTTTCCGAGAAAAAAATTGTATTAGTACTTAAGCTACTGGTCATTTCACGGGAGTCAATACACACTGACGGAACAGCCAAATGATCTAGATCTCTATCCATGGGAACAGGAAGTAGTAATGTTGCTTCCGGTTTCGCACATTTTCAACTTTATTATTTTTTTTAATCTTAGTTTTTTTAACCTCAATGCAACTACTTTTCAGAACAAGTTGACCAAAGGTGTTTATATTCATAAAAATATGAACCATAAATGTATTATGTATGGCTTGGGCCTAGATCTGATCCTATAATCTCGTTCTGTCAAAATTCTTAGGCTATAACTACGGCATTGCAGACTACTTCTTTATTTTTAAATTATACGTGTTCACTCTCTGTTGCGTTACCGTTAAGCGTCTAGGGGTTCTGTTACAATAATCATGAATGATGACAGTTTTACTTTGTCCTCCCCAACCTAGAAAATATGTTAAAATAAATTTAATACGGAACTTAGATCTAGATCTAGATCTAGACCTTGAGATTTTTACTTTCACTCTGGCTCTTAGATCTCTCTACATTACGTTGCTTGCTTTTGAGGGTCAGGCTGTCATATTTTTAGGTGCAGAACACTAAAACCATTGCAAATCATTGTAACAAAATTTTTAAAAATCAAGTTAAAGGGGATATTGCATGCAGCACTTCAGGTAGATTCTATACCTTGAAAGCTTTTTTTTAAAAGATAGATTGTCTTCCAACGGTAACAACTGGAAATACTCTCAACTGCATTGTTAAATTCAAAAGATGATCAAATAAAACATCAAGATGTATTATTGGGGCAGATAACTAACTCAGACTCACTCCCAAATTGGTCAGCTGACACAAATTGATATCAGCTGCCTGTTCTAATGTGGACTCTGCATCATCAGTAGAAATCTCCTTATACTTTATAGTGTCCTTAATATCAAAAGTGCTTCACAGTTAAATGCACTGTAATTTTTTTCTTATTACACAGAACTTATAATGAGCTTTCCAGTGGTATAGTGGTATAGATCTATTCACCTCTCTCTGACTTTTTAGGTTGATTCTGTTTTTGCATCTTTGCAAATTCAGCTGATGTTTAGCGGAACGTCATATATATATATATTTAGAATTATTACTTTATGTTACTTTTTTTGTAACTGTCATTAAGTACTCAAACTAGCTGCTACTACTTTTGTCACATAGAGCTTGCGCACACGTCACGATTTTTACAAGTGCAACCAATATTTGAAACATCATATCTCATGTGTTTGTTGATGGATTTTGATAATTCTTTTTTCATAGTTCTTGTTTCACTGAGCACTATATGGAAAGTATAGTCTTGTTATGGTATTCTTTAAAAAAAATGTTCACTTGTGGTACCTATTTACAATCAATCATTAGGTGTTTGGCGGGGCGGGTGCTCTTGTGTGGTTTGGTCCTTCCTACCAATAAAAAATTTATCGTCTTAATCTCTCCTCATTCTTTTTTGTGTTTGTTACTCTCTTGTTAGACCTTTAATTTTAGTCACTTATATGACCTTATTGGGTTACAAGTGCTGTAAAACTCTTACTTAAACAAAAGGAATTGAGTATTCCACCCGTGGTGGGAATAATTCTTTTTGTTATTCTCACCCTGGTCGGGACACTTCTCATCTTTCCTGTCTCTAGATTTAGATATCTAGATTCTGTATAAGATGTAATACAGGCTGAAGGCCGACCTCTAAACCTGGGGTGAGAATTAAACATACACTGGCAGATCTAAGTAAATATCTAGATCTAGTACGCCTCTACAATGTTTATGCGGGTTCTGGAAATATTGAGTACTTTCAAACGAGAGCACTAATGCTAAGGGGAGGAAATGTCACTTTTAGCTTTTGAATGCTTTCTGTCATAACAAATCAATCTCATTGAAAGCAAAGAAGAAGGCCCAAAATATGAATGAATGTAAAACTAAATCATGTGCACAAGAACACACACACCTTAGTAAAAAATGGAGTAAAATATTTTTAAATCCCCTCAAGGGGGTGGGATTATAAAAAAATTTCATTCCCACCCGGGGTGGGAATAATAACTGCCAAAACAAAAATAATCAATTATGAGTATCATGACTCATTTCACAGAAGTTCAAATGTTATAATTTTTTTTTTTTAATGAGGTGAGCCTGTCTCATGATCTTGGCCACCAGCCAGTTCATAAAAGCATGATAGATACGATTTTAAGCACCTTAGTAAGCATCTTAGTACAGAAGTCCGTTTTTTTAATTGAAAAAAAAACATTCTCCGTTTTCTACTATTTCCCCTTATGGACATGGTGATGCCTAAGAAAATTATAGCTGTTCAAGACCGGATTTGCAAATATTAATGAGAACAGAGCTCATATGTCAGTTGGAAACTGTTGCTACACGTCTGCTTTGAATACTTTGAATTTATTGAAAGCAGAAAAGTGTGTGTCTGGTATTGCTGGGCAGGTACCAGTACTCAGTACCCAAACTCCCAGTATTACCATAGGCAGTGTCAGTACTGGCACGAGGCCTATAGTACCAGTACTCAGTTACCCTACTTACGTGAAAAAATTAAAGCGAAACTGTGATTAGCTTTTGAATAAATTAGAATAGATTTACAAATTTAGGAAGAACGCTAATTTAAATGGTTACCCTGTCAAAAAGCCTCTTTATCTTGAAACTGCTGTAAATTTTTTAAAAAGCATTTTGTCAGCTTACAGCAGTATTGGGAGGGTGCCGACACCAAATTATGTTTAACACAGGAGGTGATGGGCCCTTGGAACGAGACCCCCAGTTACTGTGCAGTGTGTAGAAGCTGTGACGTCAGATTCACAGCACAAAGCACAAGGTGACCTGATATGTGCCACCGAGTTCAAAATTTACAACCATTTAAAATTAAAAGTAAGATAATGTTTTTTAAAGTTTAGATATGGCATCAGATCTGGTTCATTGTGAACAATTTTGCTTTTTTTTCATGTGCTGATTTCGAAAATGAAGTCTGATTTTAGCTCCTATCTTTATTTAAAAAAATTTTCTTGCAAAGTTTAATCCCACGTGGCAGGAAATTTCAATGCAATTCTTTGTCCGGCTCGTCTCTCATAAGTCTGACATAGACGCACTTGACAGCTTTTGACGCCCTTTCTCTCTTCGCCACCATCCCCGAAAAAAAAAAGTCAACAGGGGAGAGGGGGAGGGCCGGTTCTGATGGAAAAAGCAGCAGTCTTAACATTAGATATGCAGAGAGCTTCTGACATCATTTATTCTCAGTCCCGGTATTGATACTGGCAGTTCTCGCCACCCAGTACTGGTAAAGTACCTGGACTCAATTTTGCCAGTACTGCCCAGCTCTAGTATTTGGAAGGGGAGGGAGAGGGGGTCACTTGGCTTGTACCATCTTTTACTGAGTCTATTTTTCAGGCAGTGAAAAGATTCCCATTCACTAATTTGCCAGTATCGTATCAATATTCCTCGCTTCTTGTCTCTCAAAACTCATGAAATCTTTGTTTGTCCTCATGTGTAGACTACACACAACACGACGCGCTGTGGAGAAAGCCTTTGCAGATGACTTCAACACGCCTCAAGCCCTGGCAAACCTGATGCGTCTCGTCAAGTTCATGAACCAGCTGCTGGGAGAGGAGGCTGACAGGGAAAAAGTGAGCTCTACCTCTTTGTTCTTTACTGGTTTTTTAATAAAATTTTGTGACTAAATTCTAGTTACGGGGTGATTGGAAGGCGGTATTTTTTTAGTAAAGAGTTTTACCGCACTTGCTACACAATTAGGTCACATAAGTGCTAGGCAGCATTTGTTGGTCCTACAATTCTACTTCAGTGGCCATATTAATGTGAGGCATCGTGGTGAGATCAGGCCATACCCCCCGGGGCAGTGCACCTGACTGAAGTGTCTTTAGGCCATTCCCAAAGGGGGGACATTAACCTGTTCTTATGCATAGTAGAATTGTTAATTGTAAATGGGCTGATTCATCAATCAATGTCATGCTCATAACTGTGCCTGAACTGTAAGTACAGAGAACTGCTGCTTTTTCTTTCCTAATCCTTACTATCGTCATTTTTTCCTCTACTTTTTTTGTATGTTTTATCACTCTCTTGTGACCCACTATTTCTGGGGTGGCTTGATAGTCCAAAGCAGACTTTGTGCTATTGAAGGTAGAGAGGTGAGCAGAGTAAGTCTGATTCCCTCTAAGGACTTTTCTGTTGACATCCACCCCTTGGCGCTCATATGACCTTAAGCAGTTGCGAGCATCGTAAAACCTCTACTAAAACTAGAGATCAGGCGTTCATAGAAATAATGAAATCGAAGAAACTCACTTTTCCTCCTGTTTGGAAATTTAAAATCTAATTTTTGTTTTTTGGCTCAGCACCTTTTATGTCCATTCAAAAAGATATTTGTGTGAGGAAATTACTGAAAAACATCGATGAACCTCTTCACTTCCGTGCCTGTAGAATTTACGGACCTGAACTGTTTAGCAGTGTGCCTATGGCCCTTAGAATTTATAGGATTAGGACTGTGACAGAGGTTGTTTTGATACCAATTGTAAGGGGAGTTACTGTTATGATCTCGTAATTATTATTGGGGTGCCTTCCATTTATGACTTTAGATTTACCACCATTTCCCCCCCATTTGATGGATTGTACGAGCATTGTGTAAGGTAGGAAAAGCCTCTTTACCCGCAGATACTCACACAACGTGTATTCCCCCTTTTTTTTGTCTCAGTTTATTATTGCTCGAATGTGTGGTGTTTCACTTTGTTTGGTGGTGTTGATTTTGGCATCACGTTACTTACTCCAACTTTTCTCCGCCCATCTCTCGATGAAATCCCCAGAAACATGGTTCAATGTAGAATGTACATGCAGAGATTCATGAGAAAATGTTGGTAAATAAAAAAAGTTATGGGAGGTTGAGTGGGGTCACCCTTGAGCCGCCTTGGTTCTTGGGATTTCCCCTGGCACAGGGGCCTATTTACCTGCGGCATTGAAGGGGTTAGAGCAAGGGTCCACAGCGTCCGCACTCACGCTTCATCACAAAGTACGTACGTTAACGTAGCGGCTAGCCCGTGTCCACAGCGTCCTCACACGTACGGTTATTTTTTATGCTCACCAGACCTAGATCTAGAGGAAAAAGAAATTTTTTTATGGTGGTGGTTGAAGAGGAGGTATATGCAAGGTCACCGCCGATTCTGGGTATATCCCATATTCAAAGAACGAGGCAAAACAGGAGAATTTAGAATGTTGCATCAAATTCTTGATGATAACGAAACATGCTTAGCATATTTTCGCATGACGAAGGCAAGCTTTCAAAGCCTTTTGGAATTATGTAGACTACATAAACAGAATACGAACTGGAGGAAGGCCATTTCACCAATTGAAAGGCTGACTGATGTAAGATGTTGCTGCTGCTGCTGTTGCTGCTGTTGCTGCTGTTGCTGCTTGCTGCTTCTGTTGTTGTTGTTGTTTTTGTTGTAGTTGTATTTGTTGTTCTTCTCCTTCTTCTTCTCCTTCTTCTTCTTCTTCGTCTTCTTTTTCGTCTTCTCCTTCTCCTTCTCCGTCTTTTTCGTCTTCTCCTTTTCCTTTTCCTTCTCCTTCTCCTTCGCTGTTGTCAATGTAGTATGACCTAAGTAAATGGTCTACACCCTATCCGTCATTTAAGTAAAAGCCCACTCTGTGCCTCCCAAAGAGCGTGTTCTCTTCAGGCACGTTTGTTTACTTTGAAAAACGGGAGCAGAAATTAATAAACAACAAAACGACTTTGAAATTCAGAATAACAAATTCAATAATTAACAATGATATAAGCTCTATAGACTATTCCTCAAATCAACATGTCAAACGAAAAAACAAAACAACACCCTCCCAAATCACAGTTTGGAGACTGAGATCAAAGTCGAGTGGCATTAATTTAATTTTAAAGGTAAAAGTAAGTGAGCAAACAAAAGTTAAGACCACTTTCTTCTAAAAGGTAACCAAAACATACAGTACGTACGGAAAATGTTTGACATGCTAGACGTCTTACGTTTTTCACGTAAGCGTGAGGAAACATGTCGTCCGCAGTGGGCCCAGGTAGTATAGAAATAAAAGGTTGAACGCTTCCATACGCACTTTGTGAGTACGTAAGCGTACGAAAGCGGAGTATGTGGACCTGGGCCCTGAAATGCACAAAAAATGTTAATTTTCAGTTTCCAAGGACACTCAAGACATGGAAGTGACCGAAGTTTGGCGACCATTTTCTCGCTAATTTTATCCCTGAAACCAGGCGACCCCACCTCCTTCTTGCAAATATCTCAACTTCTATTCAACTTAATTCAAGTTAGATGGATAGTTTTTTCCCCAAATGCATGACAAATGAACAGGCTTTAGGATGTTACCAATAACTCCATATGTCCAAAAATAGACGAGCGACTGATTCCACCGCGTTGCATCACATGTATGGTTATATATATAGATGTCAGGCTCACAGATATGTCAAGTACGTATCATTGACTCAGTTTAGAAATGTAGTCTCAGGGGTGTGTCCTTCAGCAGACACAATAGCTTATTCTCAAATACTGGCTGCTTCACAGAAGAAACCAGCAATGGCATATTTGTCTACTATTGTCTGTGTTGATGAAGTAATAATCATTGTATGATGTTGTTGAATTACGATGTGTATGTTTTGCCAGTGTAAACTAAATTTCCTCATGGGACTCAGTTTAAGTTTAACGTGTTGTTGGTTGAGAGTTGATTGAAGAGTGTTACCAGTCAATCATACTTTCCCTTCTTATCCCTTTCTTTTGTCTGTCTGCCTGTCTTGCTTGCATTGCATTTTCCCTGGTCAAAGTGACTGTCATTCTTTTGATGTAGGCTACTTCTGTTTCATCAGACTCAAACGATTTCTTTAGGTGGTTGGCAGGCACTCTGGAGTGGTTTGTGCTTTTTCTTTTCTGTCAAACATCTGTCGTCTTTCCTCTCCTCCCCCTTTTCTTTGTATGTTGTCTCTGGCAACACCTCTAATCTTAGACGTCATTATGACCTATTTGTGTTGCAAGTCTCGTAAAACGCTTCTCTGTGGGTGGTTGGCGGGTGCTCTAGTGTGGTTGCTCCTTTTTTCCTATCGAACATCTATCATCCTTATCTCCCCTTCTTCTTTTTAATGTTTGTTACTCTCTTGTAACACCTCTAATCTTCTGGCGCTCATATGACCTTATGCAGTTTCGAGCGCTGTAAAACCTCTACTAAGACAAAAAAAACCTCTAAGACTCAAAATGAATAAAACAAAACGACTTCTCTTTATCTTATCATTATTCCCCTAGGAATCTTCTGTACGCAGTAATGCTCCGGTCGCTGCCGTGGGTGTGTACGTGAAGAGGCTGCTCAAACAGCTGGGTCTGGATATAGGCCGGAGGAAAGTGAGTACATGTTTTGTTCTGATCATTTTGTTTTGATCCATCTTGTTTTGATATTTTCTTTCATCGGTTTTTAGATCTTTTACCTGATATGTTTCATCAAATCTATACCTTCCTTTCATGGTGGAATTTTCAGAGAAACTTTATGTCCATATTGATGAATAATTATACTTTTGAATACTTATAAGTAGTACCATACACTTCTGAGTAAAATAAACAGTGCATTTCTGAATAACAACTCTGAATAACGCTTCTGAATAATAATAAACAGGACTCTTCAGATTAGTTATATAAGCAATTCCCTTTTGAATAGTTATAAACAGTACACTTCAGATTAGTTTTATAAGCAATTCACTTTTGAATAGTTATATACAGTACACTTCAAGAGATATAAGTTGAGGTGGCAGAGTAATGTGTCTGTGTCATATCGTCGGTCGCCTGATAAAACCGTGAATTCCACAAATTTTAGAAAATAGTTTTTTTGCATATTTTGATAGTGCTCGGTGAGATACATGTCCCTGTAAAACAATTTTTCAATTATCTCAACTCTAACGTGTAATCTGACGTAATAAGAAAATTGTGAATAAACACCGTGCCCCAAAAGTCGCCTGATGAAACCGTGAATCCCACACCTGTGTGGAATTCACGTTCTCATCAGTCGGTTTATGACTCGCGGGGCTGACTGTTGGCGCCGTGAACGCCTCTTTAGACCATTGAAATATGGGCGACTGCGTTGAGCAAACATAATGGTCGGTCAGTATTCACGGTTTCCAGGTCAAAGATTATAATTGATGATGTCGACTGCATGCGTTTTGCGGGAAAACCTCCCTGTCACATAATTAAAATGTGTATTTCCTAGATGCAGGACTGGTATTGTTTCACAACGATTGTCATATTCGAATGTGTAATGTGTGTGCCCTTCTAATAGTGGTTATACAATTTTGATCTTGCTCGTTTTCCAAACAAGAATTTAAAAATTGACGTAGTCAAGTATAAATTACAAGTATATTTCTGTGTTGTATCACAACCCAAACTTGTTTGACATTGAAAGCTCTTTGGATTTGACATCAGAGTTCCCTAACGAGAAAAGGAATTTTCAGAAGCCGAGCAATTTTGGGCATCAAAGAAAGCTACAGAAAATACAGCACAGAAATAGTAGAAGAACCAGACTTCAATGAAGAAAAAGTATCATTCAAAGTACACAATGCATTGGAACAGATCAAAGGTGCTTTTTTAACCTCCGAGAGAGTAAGAGAGGAAGAGAGAGAGAGAGAGAGAGGAAGAGAGAGAGAGAGAGAGAGAGAGGAAGAGAGAGAGAGAGAGAGGAAGAGAGAGAGGAAGAGAGAGAGAGGAAGAGAGAGAGAGAGGAAGAGAGAGAGAGAGGAAGAGAGAGAGGAAGAGAGAGAGAGAGAGAGAGGAAGAGGGGAAGAGAGAGAGGAAGAGAGAGAGGAAGAGAGAGAGGAAGAGAGAGAGAGAGAGAGAGGAAGAGAGAGAGAGGAAGAGAGAGAGAGAGGAAGAGAGAGAGAGAGAGGGGAAGAGAGAGAGAGAGGAAGAGAGAGAGAGAGAGAGGAAGAGAGAGAGAGAGAGAGGAAGAGAGAGAGAGAGGGAGAGAGAGAGAGAGAGAGAGGGAGGGAGGGAGAGGGAGAGAGAGAGAGAGAAATAAGCAATACAAATCAAGAGATACGACGATTTCAAATAACTAATGAACTGAAACCCAGATGTGATTGCTCAACTAAATCAATGGACTACTCACTATTAAAAGACAGCACCAGAACAACTTTCTGAACAACTATCTTTGTCTTTGTTTGGACTTTGACACGGAGAGACAGAAAATCCTGTGTAAACGGTATTCTCAACTCGAAAGAGTACAATTTAAGCAAAGGCGATACACCAAGCTGAAAGATGCACACTTGAGTTTATTATCTGAAACACAATGAATTTCCTACCAACTGAAAATATTAGGTGTGTCCCGCGCGCTCATATGACCTATGCAGTTGGGAGTGCCGTAAAACACTCTACTATAAAAAAAAAATTTAAAAAAAAAAAAAAAAAATTGTAAACCCCACAATGACCAGAAGATCAAAGTTTGCCTGATGTTGATATCTATGACCGGGCTCATCCATTGTAAATTGCTCTAGAAAAGCCAGCCCATGCCAGTTTCATCATCGCTTGGCTCACCCCAAATGGACAAATACTTTCCACTAGTCCGTGCTTCTGAAGGTTCCCACTCACTATTGCCTGCAAAGCTCTGGAAAACTGTATCTTGATCCCTCTTTCTGTAATCTGTTGGAGCTTGAAACCACCTGCACTGGTCAGGGACAATCTGCCTTGTATTTCAGGCTACTCAAATATGTGCTAGATGAAAAGAACATGTCGATCTATGAGTCAAAAAAAGATCAATGTGAATTGTGCGTGAGTTTTAAGTCTTGACAGCATCAGTCAGACAAAGTGGGAATCTCACATGTCAGAAAAGAACATGACAAAGAAAGGGCACGCAATGGATAAAACCTTTGCTCTTAGGCAAGAAGACCTTGTGATGATTTGCCTGAATCTTCAGGGTGTACTTTTGTCATTGTTTATTAATTCATCCAGCTCTTGTTACAGAAACATGCATATAATCTTCAATGCGACCTCGTATGATGCCATCTATTACTTATGACACAAGGCACAAGGTGGTCTGATTGCAAATGAATTCACAAGTTGTTTGATGGACTTTTTTTTAAACGTGCACAAATACCTAGTGGGTTTTTACAATATATTATTATACAGCTACGGGTGTGTGCG